GATTATGGGTGACTTGATATAAATTACAAACTTGGATGGTTGAGGGCGGGTGCTGTAATTTGATGATAAAAATGGTTATATTATAACATATGATAGTATTCAGGCTGGTCTTTGATCTAGTGCTGAAATATGCCTGTATAATCAATTTAGGAAAAAAAAATGACCACACCCAGAAGCAGCTGTATGGTTGGTGTCACACATGTTTGAATGTTTGTAATCATTTCAGCATGTGCATGGAAAATAAATAGAAATGTTTCCTTTTACATTTAGAAATAAATATATGTTTTCCTAAAGTAACATGTAAGGAAAATCCAATATTGTTTATTGTTTATGTTTAAGTAAATTGTTTATTGAAACATTGTTAATTATGGCTGAGAAATTGAAGTTTCAATTTCATTTGAATCAGGAACTAATGTACAAGACAATTTACATAATTCAATAACTCCTTTGTTGTACATTATGAAGGATTCATTCATACATTATATTTTGAATTTTACATGACCTAGTTGTAATGATAGAATAATATATATTTTTGTATTAATTTGGATTATTCTGGTTAATTTATTCTGTATTGAGAAATTTAGCTTAACTATTTACAAAATAACTAAACCAAATTTTTTTTTTTTTAAAAAGTACCTTACTGGACATTCAAACTTAAATCTTCCTTTTTTGTGAAACCAAAAGCATTGCATGTATATATATTTCCCTTATTTTTTGAGAAAAACAACAGTACATTTCTCTTTAAGACTTTTGGCAGGTGGGTGTCTGATGAGGTGTCCAGTCACATGATTGAGAGAGTTCCACATCATATGTGCATGAAAATTTCCCTTCATCTCGAATGGAGTGGACATTCTCTTTCCAGAGAGAGACACTCTCTCTATTCACCAAATCCTGAAAAGTATTGTGTTTGCAAGAATCAAGGATGGGGTCCTTGGAGTGTACATTGGGATACTTCTGGAGTTTAACTAGCGAAAACTGACTCGCAACCTACCTTTGAGGATTTTAGCTTGCTGGGGAAGAATTCCAACCCCACACCCAGCCCAGGGACTGGTCTGCTCTTTCAAGCCTTAATGATGAGTGAGATAGGTTGGCTGGCTACCATTAACAGTGGCTTCAGTAGACATATCTAGCTCAGGAACTGGACTTCCAAGAGGGGATTGACTTGATTCTGATATTCCATTACCAGGGACTTTTTCTAATGAGTTTATATTGATCTTTGTAACAAATTGCCTTCTTTTTGATAATTAATTTGAGTAACTCCATTTTCTATGCTGTAGCGTGATAAATGTTTTTATTTAATTTTATTGGTGACTGCAAGCTTGTCTTGTACTGAAGAATAAAAACATGGTTTTGCCTGTAAGGCTGAGAATAATGAAACATTGATTTCTGATAATTCTGGACTCTTGGAGGGTTTTAGTTTTATGTAATGTACACATCTACAGTGATCTTAAATGATTGATACAGAGATTTATGTTTCACAGAAGAACCTTGTTTGTTGTGCACTAAGCAGCTTCTTGGCTGATCTTGCATGTCTGTCCATCTTACCTAATGATCAATTCATTCAGAATTCAACATTGTTGGTGGTCTCCTCAGGTTTTTTCTGAAGAGTTTTTTGCATTCATTTCCAGGCTTTTTTAAGGTGCATAACTCTGAGTGCAGTTGTCTCTATGGGTGATTTAAGAGATAACATATAGGAGTTTTCTCAGACCTTCAGCACAGACATTGTAGGACTGTCTCTCTCTAACATACTCCTGAGTAATAATTTTGTGATTTATGGAAATTGAGCCAAATGAAAATATTCTGTTTGTGGTTTAATGTGGGAATATAATTTTGATTGGGGGAGGGGAGAAAATAGATTAATTTTGTCTTGCGCAGGTCATGAATAGTGTGTGTATCCTTAGCTACTGGGAGTTGGTCAGGTTGGAATTGTGTTTTGGTGCCTTAGTATGTCAGTCATGTGTAGTGAAGTGTTTAGAAAATACCTGTTCCTCATTTAGCCCATTCAACTACTGTAGTACTTGTGCGTGTATACATGTGGACAATTGAGTCATCAGAAGATCTTGTTCAGAGCCAGTGAAAAGACTTTCCAGTGGATCTTCTCCATCTTTCAATATTGATTTCTCAAAAGATCTGAGAAACTTGCATTGGAGCTGAAAATTTATACGATCCTGCTTTTAGACTACTCTGGGAATTACCTCCTTGCCAGCAGATTCATTTTGTATTCTGAAGATTATGGTATCCCCTGTACAGGAAACTGAAGCCAATTTTCCGGCAACAGGTTCAAGACCTTTCATGAGAAGCTTGAAATTAAATCTCTCCTCTCTATGGCCAGGAAGAAGAAGAGCGGTAAGAAAAAGGATTTAAGATTAGATTTTTATCGGAAAATAAGGCGTAGAAGAGAATTTGTCCACAAAATATACAGTCAATTCATTTTACAATATATTCTGTGAAGCGCTTTGAGACATCTCAACAACGTAATAAGGTACTATATCAAATGCAAGGATGATTATTATTATGATAACATAAGAAAATAAGAAATGCTAGACGAAAAAAGATCAAGGTCCATCTAGTTCGTCTTCTACCTTCCTGGCGGTTGCATGCACATATGTCCCAAACTACCTATGTACTATATCCCAAGAAAACGTATCTATAAGAACCAGTGATGGTTGGTTTAGGGAGAAAAGGTAAGATCGAGAATGGGAAAAAAGAAACGAGGAAGGCAAAATGAGGATAAGGGGAGTTTAAAGTATTTTTGAATAAAATTGCAGGTCCTTAGTTTATTTTGGGGTAAACATTAACACTCATTTAGTAAAGTCATGTGGAGCTTCCTGTCATGTGGAACTGAACAGATCAGGAAGCCCAGTTTTGATCCTCAGATTGCAGTTACTTAGGTTGTCTCAGCTGGGACCATAGTGGAGACCTGACAATTGGCGTCAGCACTTGATTAGGGAAAATAAGGTTCTCTCCTAAACACTGACCAGTTATCTATTCTGCATGAATGGTGGGTGAGATGTCATTCGACTCAGCGCTATGTTCAGAGAGCCTACGATAATGATAATCACTCTGCAGGCCCACATGTAAAAGAGAGTATCTCAGGGAAGTTGATGGGCATAAAATTGTACCTTGGCATGAGTTCAGGAACTGGGGACAAGAGCAGAAGCTTTTACTGACATTTCAGTAGTGTATCGTTGTTGTAGTATTTGTGTCAGTGTCACAGTACACTTTGGAAGACGATTGGAAATGGGATGTGACCAAAATCCTGAAGAAACACCACTTTATTATTCTGCACATCTCATCACAATAATATATTTAACTTTAGGGACATCCAGAGACTGAATGTGGTTGTCTTGAATCAACATGCCATTGGGTGGAGTCTCTGCTTCGTATCTTGCAAAGGTCCATTCCTAAGTCTTAATTCAATAATTCTAGTGTCCTCGTTTCTCTGGATCCAGTTGCAAAATAGTTTGTGCTGATCTGTGTAAATAGCCTCTAAACCTAGACACAGTGGACAGACCAAACTTAGTCCTCAAACCTTCCACTGATCTATTTGTATCACCATACTTGCAGTGTTGGCATTGTCTTTCCTGAGGGTTTGAACCTCACTAGGTGAATAACGGATACCAGGAACCATCTTCCTGTTCACAACTGGGACACACATCCCATCGCATTAAGCAATGGTTCCTCCATTCTTTTAATAGAATATTCTCCATGAACAGGATTTCTGCTCTGCCATTCCCTTGACTTTTTGTGGGTGTGTAGGTATCATCTGGGGTTTACGCCTTAATTTTTCGCTGGGGAAGCAAGACCGATTGAGTGTTCAATGTCAGAAGATGTCTGGTCTGGTATGTGCTGTGTGTGATGACAATATCCCAACTTGGTAATGTCTTTATTATTGCTTCAATGCAAGCAGTACTATTTGTTTAAAAACCTGTAGTTGCAGGATTATTCCAGTGTATAGAAAAACTATGCTTTTCTGTTCAGTGAATTACCCTAAATTGCTGCCTAAGAATTGATTAATGCATGCATGATATTTCAGCAGTATCAAATACATTTGCATTAATGATAATGAAAGTTTCCTTTTGTAAATAAGAAAGATAACTATTATTGGACACTGTGAGCTATGCTCACATATTTCTAATAAGGGTGATAGATGGTTTCCATAACAACAAATGAATGGTGAGGTGTTTACTGCAATGCAAGGTCTGTGCAAGAATATGGCATGCTTTTGTTTGATAGTCCTGTTGCTCAGTGGTTCGAGCAGTCACCTCACAAGCGAGAGACCTGAGTTTGATTCCTGGCAGGGCAAAACCTTGGGCAAGTTTCCTTACTCCAGACGCTTGATAATAATTCCTCAAGAAAAAAAACAATAATAAATTGGTTACTTCAATCAACAACTGTTTCTGGGACACTGGTGTGCGCCATTCTGTGTTTCGCGCACAAATACAGTCAATTCACTTTACTGTATATTCTCTGAAGAGCTTTGAGACGTCCAGAAGACGTGAAAAGCACTATATCAAATGCAAGGATTATTATTATTATAATTTGCGTTGGAGGAAAGGATCTTGTGAAACCTGAAATATTTGGCAGATTTGCAGAATAGTGTTCTGCACTCTGTGTGGGATGTATGTGTGAAGCCAGGTGGTTTACGCAAACTGTTTCAAGGCTCAGTAATGTGAGGCTTTTCAAGGCCACAAAATTACATGAACAAAGCAGTCTTGAGTCAAAAGACTACTGTGGTCAGAAGGCAGGATATAAAAGATCCAACAAATGTTACTGAAAGGACACGACGGTTTTTTTAAAAAAAATTTAATTAATGTATTGTTCCATTTTTGGTTTTATAACCAGAATAATGTAAACCCTTTTCCACTTTTAATGTACAGAGTGATGTTTTAAAACGTACATGTTCTTCAAGGCACACATTACAAACCATTTAATTAGTTACAAAGTGATGTATAGGAAATATTTATTGTAACAATATGTTTCTGATTTTCCAAATATAGGATGAATACAAACAAATTTTCACTCACCAGAAGTCCAGTTCTCAGTCAGATTCGCACGATGATGAAATTTCACCACCACCTCCAAATCCTGTGGTGAAGGCCAGACATAGAAGAGGTGGTGTAAGTGCAGAAGTATATACTGAAGAAGATGCAGTGTCTTATGTTCGAAAGGTATGACACCAGGTTTTGTGTACATAAAATGCAATTTAATTGCAACAAAATATGAATACTAATGCAGTAAGTGGTACATTGGGTTGTCTAAACGCTGAGCTGGTGTATGTCTCTTGCAAGAAAACTGTATGCTTTTTGTGTTAGAACTTCCCACAGTTTGAATTAGTTGCCTTGGTTGAGCACCACTGGTAACTGCATAGGCTGGATGGACAGAAGCTTTCATCTCAATGGAAAGAAAATAAAACTGGTAGATGTGCTAAGTCTACTGTATTATTCCTCTAGCTATCAGGTCACTGTAGAACATTAGTTCCTGTGAAGCCATCAACAATCCACATCATCTCTGAACATTCAGATGAGGATCCAAAGCAATAAAAAACATTGTTGGGAAGAAAATTGAATGCAGGAAAGAAAAAAAGTTCCATGAAGTTTTTTAAGTTCACCTTTGTGGAGATCTAAGCTAGTTGATTTTCTACCAAATCTTGGGTCACCGTTTCACAGATGTTGCTTGTGTCTAGAAAATTCTTACTTAATATAATAATAATAATCTTTGCATTTGATATAGCGCCTCATCACGTCTTCGAGACATCTCAAAGTGCTTCACAGAATATACTGTAAAGTGAATTGACTGTATATTTTGTGGGTGAAGATAGCAGCCAATTGCGCACAGCAGTATCCCCCAAACAGTCGTGGATTGAAGTAACCAATTTATTATTTTGTTTTTAAAGGAATTTTTCCCCCGGGAAAGGTGATCTGCCAATCGACTAACAGCCAGGTTCCTACTTATTGCTAGGTAAACAGAGGTGTGTGGAGTAAGGAAACTTGACCAACATTTCACCCTACCGGGAATTGAACCCAGGTCTCTTGCTTGCGAGGCGAGTGCTCTAACCACTGAGCTGCAGGATTCCATTATTAATACTGAATAATAGTACTTAAATAGTTTTTAATAAAAATGTTTGGAGTTATTCCAAGGTTAACAAATCCTTTCCTTTCTTAATTGTGTTTATTTCAAGAGGTGGTCAGCTATTGTGGTATTGTATTATCCGTTTTAGACTTCCTACTCTCAAAAACTTAATACCTCAGTAACTTGTGATTCTTATTCAAAATGTGTCTTAGATTACAAAGGTTGACTGCAGTCTACAGTGAACGGCATCTTATTGTATTACATTACAGGTTATACCAAAGGATTACAAGACTATGACTGCACTGGCAAAAGCAATCTCTAAGAATGTTCTTTTTTCTCACCTTGATGATAATGAACGAAGGTAAGAAACACAAGCATTTGTTGGTGCTTTCTGACTGCAATCCAGTCTTTTTTCAGGTTGAAAAAAAAAATTAAGGTGCAATGTCTTTATCAAGTGTCTACCGATGAATATCCTCAGCTAATATTACAATCATGCACAATACGGCTTTGTGTGGAAAAGTATACTGGTGCATACAAAAATAGACTGAGGAGTCAAACAAAGTATATAATTCTGGATGTATAGTTTGATTTTTGGTGACAAGATTTAGTATCTTTTCAGTATTCATTACCATGGCTATAAAATGCTACTAATATTCTTATTTAATCAATGTATACCATTTTGCAGAACTAAAAGCTTAAGTTTAAAAATGAAAATCTATTAATTTAAACTTGTTCGGCACAAATTACTCTGCAATTATTGTCTTGTGTCTAGTTGGCAGTGATTCTTGCAGTGTTTTGTTTAAATATGCTACTGTATAGATAAAATTAAATTGATTTGCCTACATAACTTAATGTAAAATCCACTAAGTAGTAACTTCAGATATGTATTTGATTATCTGCTACAACAACAACAACAACAAGATTCCATTTATTGAGCGCCTTTCACGTTGGGAGGACGTCCCAAGGTGCTGTACAGTTGGGTCAGGGCCCGAGCATTGGGGGGAAATGGTCAGGGTGAGGGGAGGGAAGGGAGGGAGCGAGGAGGAGGTAGAGAGTCGAGAGGGGAGCTGAAGGCACGGTCAAAGAGAAAGGTCTTGAGACCGGCCTTGAAGGAGGAAAGGGAGGAGGCGGCGAAGGCACTGGGGGATAGAGTTCCAGAGCCTAGGGGCTGAGAGGCTGAAGGCCCGGCCACCGATGGTAGGGCGGTTGGGGCGGGGGATGTGGAGCAGACCGAAGCCAGAGGAACGGAGGGTACCGGCAGGTAGGTAGGGGGATAGTAGGTCGGAGAGGTAGGAGGGAGCAAGGCCGTGAATGGCCTTGTAGGTGAGGGTGAGGATCTTGAATTCGAATTCGATCTTGAATTGCTAATATGGGTCTGATAGTTGCACCATCAATGTTTTGGTTTCTGTCAAAGAGGTTGGTGTTGTAACCTGTATATAAACTTAGATGTTTAAATAATATAATCGAATACTTCATGAGATATTGAGTCCTGTGTTGCGTGGCTACAGAGGGAAAATATGTGTGACACAGAGGAGGTATGGAAGGCCAAGGTTGAACGGTGCATATTTCAGGCTTGATGGATATTCTTGAGTTTTGCTTTATAACCTTTGTTATCAGAGCATATTCATGTGCAACTTTTCTCTGCTCCTATCTACAACTATTGACAGACAAGGGTACTGCACTGTCCTTGATGCAGAGTGTGAACTTTATATGTAGCACATATTGTGCTGCAGCCACTATTTTCCTTCTTTGAATTGATTCACAACTGATTAAAAGTTTGGCTGGATAAAAGTGTAGTTGAGAAAGACAATACAGTGAAGTGGTGGCTTCAGTCCTGCCTTATGTGCCTCGAAAGTATGATTTATGATCGATATATTCTCAAAGTTTTTCTCTTGAACGCCTTGTGAGGGTTCAGAACATCACTGAACGATTACCTATTAGAACAAGCAGTTCCAGGTGACAACAACAACTTATACAGCACCCTTCATGTAGGATGGGGTACTTGACCAGTTAGTGATGATCGTTCTTTGCTGGGGAAGTAAGTCTTGAATTGGCTTCAAGATGATATGTTGTTATAGAATGTCAGAATTGAGTCAACCCTGTGTAGTGATCTTAACAGTCCAGTTCCTGAGCCAGGAGGGGTCGCAGTACTCAAAGGTGCTGCTGACAGACCAGCCAACGCATGTCTAATACTGTGTAGTAGCTAAGAATTAGCTAAGCAGGGTGCATCCCTCCAGAGAGTGTCCGCATTACATTTCCAGATGCAGGGAAAGTTCCATGCGTAGGTGGCATAAATAATGGGAACTCAGTCTGGTGTGGTTACTGTTCAGCATGGTGATAGGTTTTTGCATGTTTCAGAAATGCGTCTGACAAAAAAAAATTCCAGATCTTCTATGCCAGAAGTCTGGAACAATTTGTTCCTCTTTGTCTTTATGTTCCTTCATTCTGAAAATCACTCAAAACATTCTGCCACATTGATCCTCCTTTTATTGAATTAAATCTTTTCTTTGCACTAAGCCCTGAACATTGTTTCATCTTCTCAAAATCCTTACAGAAAGATCTTTTGACATTTGGGGAGCATGACAACTCATAGAGACGGAAATTGATAACATTTCTATTGTGCGCCATCCTAACCAAGTAGGGTTAATTTCCTCCAAAGTTACAGCACTCTTGTCTTTGTATCTAGGAAAACCTCACCTGAAGACTTAAAATGTTGAAGCAACAGATGTTGTCCACTGTTACTTGCAACTGTTTTGGTTGGACCATTCTTTATGTACTTGAAAATGCAGCTGGATCAGTCATTTACCAAGCACAAGACTTAATATGGCAAGAATTAAATAAGGTTATGTCCCATCAATATGGTTGAAAATACAGCAGTTGTGTAGAATACTAGTTGGCTAAATGCTATAGCTACTTAATGGGGAATCATTTCACCGCTATCTGTAAGATCGCCTTGGGTAATCTGATAGTATTCTTGTAGTATTTTTGTTGCCAGTAAAGAAAAACCTTCTTAAAATTAAGAATAATAATGGAAGTGCAAATAAATACTTGTAATTAGTTGCTTTCAAATGTTTTGGTTTAGTCTAGAAATTTGTCAATTTGTGGGCCTCTGAATCTGAAAGATTGATTACAAAGAATCTTTTGTGAATTTAAACTTCTATCCCACAAAATGACATCCATCTCTTGTATACAGAATCTGACTGTATCAATAATCAGAGCAGGTGCAGAATGTTAAAACATAGTGCATCTTCTGTGGTTACACCGGTTGTACACCAGACTACAAAATCATCCTTACCTTATTTAATTAAGAATGGCAAAATGAAAGATACAGAGAACAGTATTAATTTGTAACTAAGTTTTGCCAAATCAGGATTAAAATTAGATTAGTCAGTGTAACATTGGAGATATGGTGAACAAGTAGAAATGATTCATCTTTCAGAATCAGCTAAACATTTCCCCTTGTTGTTGACGTACATGTTTACCTCTAAATCAACCTCTGTTGGCCTTGGTATTCTCAGGGTGTGGTTATTTTTTAAAATTATCTGCCAGAGACTCTGAACTTGATTCTGTCCTAACATATGCTTTTTCATTTGAATCTGTGGTGATGTGTGATTCTATGTTCTGTCTTGGAACATCGTAATTTAAAAACTTTTGCATAAAATTCACTTCATGGTTGCAAGCAGGGCTATTTGCTCTTTTATGTTCTGTGCCAAATCTTTGTGAACTAGAGTATATAGCAATGTTTCAACTTGTGAAAGGTAGGTGACTTTAGGTCAACCATTACTAAGGTGTTGCTTTTAGAAAGTATAACAGATTGTATATGGTCAGTGTACATAGTCTTTGTTTTTCGATTTTGTTAAGAACCACAGTACCATAGTAGGTGTAGCGTCCTTGCGTGTAACCGTGACAGCAGTTCTATTTGAAGTTTGTGTAGTGCACCCATTTGTTATATCCCTGAAATAAACATTGATTGTTCTGGCTAGGAAACATTTGCAAATGTGAAGCAGTAGATGAGAACATTTCTACACATTTTTATGCAATTTGTTCTGAAGCATTAAGTGGTATCTTCTTTGAGTAAACTTTGCATTTGTATTTGTAAATTGTGGCCTTATTATTTAGTAATGCTACTAAATAATTTCAGCACTTTGGGACCTCCTGACGCGAAAGGCCCTTTTTAAATGTAAATGTAATTTATTGATGTTGTTGCTTCTATCTGACATTATCATTAATCATAGCAGGTGCAGAATGTTCAAACATAGTGCACTGTCTGTAGTAACACAGGTTGTACTCCAGACTACAAAATCATCTGTACTTTATTTAATTAAGAATGGCAAAATGAAAGATATAAAGAACAGCAATAATTTGTAACTAAATTTTGCCAAATCGGAATTAAAATTCATTTGGTTTTTGCCCCTATAGTTTTTTCTGCCCATTCTTCAGATGCAAGCTGAAGAAGGGAATGGTACTTACCAATGTAGCATTTTTTTACTTCATATCCCCATTTTTGTGCCACTAAATGCATTACTTTAGTGTTGTAATTCTTGGTGACTGATCAACGTATTGTGGATGGGGTGCCTAGTACGTTGAAGAGCATCTTATTAGCTGTACATACAATTATCAATTTTCTGGTCAGCTCTTCCGGAACTGAGGAACAATTACAACAACAACAAAATTACATTTATGAAACACGTCAGGAGGAAGTCCCAAGGCGCTGGATAGACCGGGTTTTGGACCTGAGCTGAGGGTCGGGGCGGGAGAGAGAGGAGGGCAGCGTGGGGAAGCAGGGAGATCGAAAGCACGATCGAAGAGGAGGACCTTGAGGTGGGTCTTGAAGGTGGCGAGGGAGGGGGTGAGATGGAGGGACTGCGGGATGGAGTTCCAGAGGGTGGGTGCCGAGTGTCGGAAGGCCCACCCGCCAATAGTGGGGCAAGCAAGGCGGGGGGCGTGAAGCACGCCGGAAGCTACTGAGCGGAGGAAGTGAACAGGATGGTAGGGGGTTAGGAGGTCAGTGAGGTGGGGTGAGCAAGATCATGGAGGGCTTTGAAGTTGAGGACCAGGATCTTGGACTGTATCCTCTGTGTGATGGGAAGCCAGTGGAGTTAGGCAAGGATGGGGATGATAAGGTCACGGAGCCTAGTGCGGGAGAGAACACGGACTGCAGAGTTCTGGATAATCTGCAGCCTGTGGAGGGAGGAGTTGGGGAGGCCGACAAGCAGTGAGTTTGCGTAGTCAAGCCTCGAAGTAATGAAGGTGTGTATGAGGGTTTCGGTGGCCTGCGGTGCGAGACAGTGTCGGAGCCGGGCGACGTTGCGGAGGTGGGGGAAGGCAGAGCGGGTCATGCGCGAATGTGGGGTAGAAAAG